TAATCAGTCTACAGTCAGGCCGCTCTGACACACGCCAGGGCCGCTGACCAGAGGTTGATGCCTCAACAAACACATGCTGGGAGTTGATGATGGGATGTTAAGATCCAGGAGATTCTGTGAAACCGAAATACTTTCCTACAGCCTGTGTAAATAACGACATGTGTGTCAGCGGTATATTAAAGCAACAGTCAGTGAATGGACGGTGGACGTGTTGGATCTACAGTAGCGTTCTGCCCATGAGTTAAATTGTGTTCATTTGTATTTGATTAATTTGACAAATGAATTATCCTGATTGATTTATTGTCCTGTTTGTTTTGTCTCCTTGAAGGCGACCTGAGGAGGCTTATCCTATGGTGAGCAGACTACCAGATTAGCCCTGTCCCACAGTGAATTGATCATGAAAATACTCACATTTGTCCCATCTGTCCGTGCACATGTAGGGGGATAAGACACAACCTGACATGGAACACTCAGGCCTTAGGGATTAGCACTCAGGGTCTCCCAAACTCCTTACCATTCCTGTCCTGCCCGTCCACTGAGGGACACCAGCAGGGGTCGCAGCGAACAAAGGCCAAGGCATCTTCAAGGGCGGCCCATCCTTCACCAACAAGGTCCAAACAGAATCGTCTCCTCCTGCCTCACTTCTCTCTGCCACAGATGGAGAGAGCGGACCAGAACCAGGTCAAGGACCTGGACTTCTTCACCACGTCAGAAATCCTGGAAGCAGCATGTAACGAATCCATCCCAGGCCTGACAGGTGTGTCCAACTTCACCGTCTTCCTCTACTGCAAACTCTTTGAAGGGGAGAACCAGTCGGTCCGTCCTGCGGGGGGACAGATGGGACTCGACCTGCACGCCACCTGCTCTGACGCAGCCTGGTACCTGTCAGCAGCGGAGGACGACTTCCTGTGGCTCCACGTCTGCAGTGAATTCTTTGCACATGAATTCAACAACACGGTTTGTGCCAACTCCTCCTTCTGGCTGCAGAAAGCACAGCAGGTAATGGATTACTGTCTGTAATGGATTACTTTTGGTAATGGATTACTGTTGATTACAGATTACTGCTGGTAACGGATTACTGTTGCTAATAGATTATTAGTGGCATGGTGGTAGAATCAATCTAAATCAGTCTAAATGTAAATTTGTTTGACTAAAATAATTTTGATATTCTTCTTCTTCTTCTTCTTCTTCTTCGTCTTTTTCTTTTTCTTTTTCTTCTTCTTCTTCTTCTTCTCGTCGTTTGCAGGCTGCAGTGACTAAGGACTACAGTTTTTTTAACCAGACCAACATAGACGACCTGTGTGTTCACCTGTCAGAGGAAGCCTCAGGATCTCTGGGCCTTGATGAGAGCTGTTTGGCCCAGGTGGGCAGCGGGTTGCTCACAGCTCAGGTATTAAGACACTGCTTCCTGCCAAACAGCTCGGTCCTCATCTCCTCTTTGTGCAGCAGTTACTCCGTCGACTCCCACAGATCGCTGTCAGAGCCCAGCTGGGTCGCAGCCTACTGCTCCAAACTGCTCAACGCCTCCGATTCTGACAGCACAGAGGAGATGTGTCGCTACCGGGAGTGGGCTGTGGATTCTTTCACCAACACCACTCTACTAGAACACTGTGAGCAGACGCCTGGGCTCAAAGAGTACATGTGTGCGAACGCCACCGTGTACGGTGGGCTGCTCCGGCAGCCTCAGTTTGCAGAGTTCTGTGCTGACTTGCAGGCAGAACACGAGGACAAGAAGTGCTTCCTGCAGAGGTTCTTCGACATGCTTCCTGCGCGCTACGACTTTGATACGTCGCAGCTCTGTGTGGACCCGGCTCCGCTGCTGGTGGATGTTCTTCACAAACTCAGCGTCTGTGAGGTGGAGGGGGGGCGGCGGGAGAGTTTTCTATTGTCACTGGGGTACGTTCTGCGAGTGCTGGACTTCATGGTGGGTCTCTCCTCGGGGCTGGATGAAGGGGAGAGAGAGGCGAGGCAAGGTTTGGGTCAGGCCATCCTCCTCTCCAGTCTCCTTGACAACACATCCTGGTCCTCGCTGCAGCCCAAGGCCTCCATGAGCGTCCTTCAAACCGTGGGGGTCTTCCTGCGAGGAGAGCAGAACACCACTCTGAAAGAAGACCTGCTGGGATGTTTCAGTGTAAGATAACACACATGCACACACACACACACACACCCACCCACACACACACACATACTCAGCTCTTCTCTCTCCTCTCCAACATCAGCCGCTCTTGTGGGACCTCATACAGCGAGACAACAACTCCTCTGCCCTCAGAGTCCTGATGCAGGTATTTCTCCAGTGTCTGCAGCCTTTACCATGTTCATCAGCTCACACCACATGAACACGCTATTAACTCAGCTTCATATTCATTGACATTTTTGTCCAGGAATACCTTCAAATGCCAAGAGACACCATTCGGACTCTGGTCATGTCGGCTGAAAAAGATGCAGTGAAGAGATTTCTCTCTCACATGCATCAAAGTTGGGACCAGCTGCAGGTGGAACCGAGCCAGGTTTGTTCCTGAGAACAACAAGAGCCGGGGCTTTTGTACAATAATTGCACTCCTGCAGGGTATTTAGTATCGTTTTTGGACATGTTGGTGTCAAATGTTAGAAAGTCCAGCCAATAAAAATGGTGGAGTCAAAATAACAAGACTCCTTGAATTTATTAAAATCCAAGATGGTGCATCTCAGCCCCAAATACACATAGACGCATTTATGAAACTGCAATTTTTAAAACAAGGACATCAAATAACAAGACCTCCCAGTAATGGGTCCACACCCACTGCAGGCCACGCCCCGCACTTTTGGTGACAAATGCTATAATCAGTATTGCATATTCAGAAATAAGGGCTCCTGCTACTACTACTACTACTACTACTACTACTACTACTACTACTACTACTAGTAGTAGTAGTAGTACTGATGTGTGTCATAGCCCAAATGACCAAAGGTCTTCCCTTCATGTTTCCCTTCAAGGCTTCCCGACAAGAGGTCGAAGCCATGGAAACCATGACCGCTGCGTTCATCCATAAATTCCCACGAGTGACTCCGGAATTATTTGTAGACCTGTCTCAGTTCATACCCTTCATGTCTGTCTCCGATATCATGAGTTTCCCAGCATCCCTGATTGTCAACGACACTGTGTGAGTCTGCGATCCGTGAAGTATCTAGTGTACTGCGATACTTCCTCTGAACAAAGTACCAACAACATCTGTGATTGGCCTTTAGACTGACCGCCATCCGGGACCACAGCTCCGGGATGAAGTCGCTGCAGAAACGGGCTTTTGTGAAGCGACTCCTCCAGTCCAATGTGGTGGGTGATGTGGAGACCTGGCCGCCCTACTTCCTGGGCTCCATCCTCCCTCTCCTGCCATTCCTGCCTGTCAGTCGTTTTCAGCAACTGACATCACAACAGGTCAGCACAGATCTTTATTTAAAGCAACAAACAGACAGTAGAGGGCGTTGGAGTCACCATCGTTGTCTTGTCATTTATTCCAATATCTGGCTGTTTCCTCCGGCAGCTCACTCCTCTGGTGGAGTTGTTGGGCAACAGCAGTCTGGATGCTGTAAGGGGGCGCCACGTTCTCCGTACGGTCTTCGTTAAGAAGAGGAATCTGACCAGTGATTACCTGTCCAGGTGGGGCCTTCATGGTCAATTTGGAAAATGGAATTTAAGAATAAAGTCCTTAACCTGACTAGAAGACATTTTAAAATCTATTAGAACAGAGTCGTGACGTTAGCATTTCATTTCGACTGAAACAAAAACAACTCCACTAACCTCCCACTGGTGTAAGGAGCTCTAAAACAACTCCATTACTAACCTCCCACTGGTGTAAGGAGCTTCACACTCATTTGTTGTTTCAGGTTAGGAGTCCTGGCCTGTTACCTGGACCCAGCAGACCTGGGTCGGTACCTGCAGGAGTCGTCCGTGTCCTCTGCTCTGTGGCAGCAGCTGGCTCAGTGTATGTCAAAGGGCTTCATCAGTTCCAGTGGTCGAGTGAGTGCTGCATGTTCAAAGTTACACCTGGTAAACCAGACTTATTGGCCGGACCAGTTAGACCTGAAACCAAGGCCACTTTCACATGTATTTTGACAGAAATGTAAATAAAACATTCATCCATCGAAAGTTTCCCCACAGTGTGTGCAAATAACGTGTTTGTTGTTTTACTGTTGACTGGAAAAGTTCAAATCTTCCTGGAGTTGAACCACAAACGTACATTTGTTTGATTGTGTTTCCTGACAGTTGTCGTCATGGTTGATACCAGCAGTGAAGACTGTCAACATCAGCAGCTTGTCTCCTCCATCACTGCCTGGTCTCCAGGGCCTCACTGATCTGCTGCCGCAGCTGGGATCTCCAGTCCTGCTGTCTCTGCCGTCACAGCAGATGATGGAACTCCTCTCACAACCAGGTTTACACAGATACCCTCCAGCACAGGTCGCCATCTTTCTTTTCAAACTATTTGACCAAAAATGTTGACATTTTTTATTTTGTTATCTTCATAAAGACATAAGACTGCAAAATGTTTTCTTAGGACTTTTTGACTCTATTAATTTTTTTCTTTAGGCATTTCAAATGTTATCCAAACTCTCCCAGGACACCACTGTGAGTAAACCTAAAACTAGAACTTCAGTCACTGATTCAAACAGCTGTTGTCTCACCCGTTGTCTCTCTGTCCTCCCCTCAGCTCAGTGTGGAGACTCTGTGCAGACTGAAGTCGTTACACTCTGGCGTCTCCCCCACTCTGATCAGAGACCTGCAGTGGCCTGAGGTCACGGAGCAGCTTCACTGTCAGTGCTGGACCATGTTGTTGACTGGACTGAACCCTGGCTGTAGAGCCGCGCTGTATGACACGGTGCTGGAGGTGATGGTTGTGGTTTTTCATCATTTATTTGTATGTATAAAGGTATAAAGTTATGTTACTTACGTCAGAAAACTGTTCCTGTGGTCCGATGTAACTCAATTTAGAACTCACAGTTGGAGCTCACATACACTACATCAGTACCTATGTCCCTCAGCTACGCTAACACAGTGCTAACATCATAATCTTGGACATGATAGAAGAGGCTGACTTACGCATGGGAGCCATAACGAAGGGCAAAAAGTACCTAAAACATAACAACAAAAAGGAAAGTGAATGTAGCACAGTCCAGTGTAAGGTGCACAGCTGGTGGATGTAAACAGAGCCACCTTTGGCGTACTGTGCTGTGGGGCCCAGAGGTTGGGCATTTCTTTGTTAACAGTTTGTTTTGGTGTCTTCAGGTTCTGACCAGAGATCTGCAGAACCTCACTCATCCTGGACACTGTGTTCTACCATTTGTTCCTCTGAAGAAGCTGACAGACACCGTGGATGGGGGAACAATTCTGGGACACATTGACTTCTACCGGGACACCCGGTGGTCACCGCAGCAGGTGCACATTAAAGGAAACCTTTTTTCATGAACAACTCCAACACACTCCAATAATACGACGACAATAGTTAGTTCTGCTGCGCTGACGGAACGTGAAACTTCTACCGACTTTGCTCTTAGTCCTGTTTAATCTGAAACTCATTAGATTTGCTTCAGGTGAGCTTTTCAGAATATGAATACTCCATAGGCATCCGCTGCCATCAGGCTAATTAGTTTGGATGTCGTACAATGGTGCGGAAGAGTGTAGCATAAATTAGTAATGGCTAAGTGAAAGGGATTATTTTCACAGCCAAGAGTGTGTGTGTGTGTGTGTGTTAGCCTGCTGTCACCACCTGTTCTCAGCGGCTTCTGCCCTGAGCTAAATCAATAACCGTCGGGTTTTTTTCACTCACTAACGGCTTTAGAAATAAACGCCATTCTTCGTTCTTCATGTTTGAGTGACTGGATCTATCTGTGTTTTCTGAAAAGTAAGTTTAAATAGTGTGAGAGAATTATAATAGACCCTGTGTCAAACCTAAGGCCCGCGGTCCAAATGTTGCCCATGTCATTTTGTGTGGCTTGTGGTTGGGTCTGGTGTAAGTCCTCTGGTCCACTGTGTGTGACGTCTACTTCTCTCTGTCTAGGCTCAGCTTCTGTTCAGAAAAGTCTCTGGATCCAAAAACCTGACCAGCAGCTCAGTACAGTAAGTATTACAGTACAATACTGGTACTGAATCAGTACATCTATAAAAACACATCATTATCTTCACTAAAACAAATGAAAGAAAAACATTAAAGTTACGTTTGTTTTTGTTCAGGGCTCTGGGTCAAATTGCTGGTGGAATGACCTGTGACCTTTTCAAGCTCTGGGCCAACGATACAGAATTTTCAGAGCTGCTTCACCTGGTGACCGATCTGTCTGGAGCCATTAGACCGGCCATGGTGAGAGGCACGGCTTCAGAATACACACTGCAGTACTTGAGTACATGGAGATAAAGCCACTCCATCGTTAAGTTCAAAGGGTGTTTTAAAATGCAACACATGAGCAGAATATAATTAGAAACAGTACAGAGTCAGTGCTAATTGTTGTTTTTGTGCCCCACTGATTTTGGTTTGGCGCCCCCTATTGCCCCATAAAATAAAATAAAAATATTTTTACTTTATCTACTGTAACTTTAATTATAGAAGTAACAGAATCAACTGGCTGATATACATATATACATACATTTAGAAATATTTACATATATTTATATATATATTCACATATATACGTATTTATTCATATGCGACTTGAGCAGTAGGAAACCATCGGCTGGACGATACTGTAACTTGTGTAAAATAAAGTTAAAAAAATGTTTCAATGGGGAGATAGAGGGCGCCAAAGTTATATATATTACATATATATACAGTAGACTGGAGTAGAGGTACAAAAATTGCTCCTTTAAAAATAGGCCTTGACAACGTGCCTTTTTTGCCATGACATATAGTAACATCAAACAGTACTATTCATACTGTATTAGATCCATATGTTTTGTAACTATATGTTTGACATGAATAAGTTCTGACCTGTGTTGACTGTTACCAGAGGAAATGTATCATAGAGGAGCTGAGGAGCCGCCCTGACCTGGACCTGACTCTTCTAAACCCCAGGTTCGCTGCATCACTGCCGTAAGTATAACGATCAGGTGTCAGTGTGGTAAACACTGAGTGAAACAGTTCTAGGTACACATCTCAACCTTGACACTTGTTCCAAGTTTTCCTTACGTCTAATTAGTTCTGTTTTCCTCAGCGTGCCGCTCTTGCCCCTCTAAATGCCCTGCAGGGAAAAACAAAGTTTTCTGAATCTGAATCTGGAAAGTGTTTCAGTCTCCATTTCTGCTAAATGTGCTCTCTTGTGTTTTCGCAGCCTGACAATGATGGAGAGCCTCAGTAATTCATCCTTCCGGGCCGTTCTGGACCAGGTCCAGGCAGACTTTGCTGAATTCCTCAAACTGCCACATTACAAGCAGACAAATTTAGCTGAAAAGGCCAGAGCGGAGCTGGTAAGTCAACCACAGAAACACACAGAGCTGCATCAGAACACCACGGCCTGCACTGTCATAATGAGTACACCACCAGAATACACTGAAAATGGGGGTTCCTCAAACCGTGGATCAGGGCACCAGCAGGAGTCCTTTCACTTGGTTGAGCTTGAACCACAAATCGGGAAATAAACAGATGGTGCACAGAGGCTGGGGTCATGACCCCACCTCGTTATCCTCTAACAATTTATACTACTGCACTTCTATCAGTTTGAGACAGTGTTCATCTGAGGCTCTGTATGGTTGTCCTCAGGCAGACGGGGAGGTGGACAGCACTACCGTGGACGTCCTCGGGCCTCTAGTGCCGTTCTTGGACCGGGACAGTTTGTCTCTGGTGGACAGAGGAGCTCTGGGTCTGCGGCTGGAGGAGATGAGGAGTTTCTGCCTCCCGAGGGAGGCTCTGAGAGACATCAGCGCCCTGCTCACTCACAAAGACATGCTGGGGTAAAGAACGGATGTTCAGAATCAGTGATACTCAAAGTGTGACAATAAGTAGGTACAATAGGACAGTACTGCAGTATATAAATACACAAAAGGAGCCTCATCAGGTCGGTGTTCTAATGTAGAGGCACTGAAGGAGGCTCAACATCTGGACGGTGTTCTGATCTAGGGGCACAGTAGGAGGCTCAACATCCGGTCAGCGTTCTGATGCAGGTGCACGTTGACTTTGATGATGTCACAGTTGTGTCAACCTGTTTTCCAGGGCTCCGTCTAAATGGCAGGTTGAAGACGTGGAACATCTGGGAAGGCTGGTGTTTTCTCTCTCACCGAAGCAGATCAGCTCCATCCCTTCAGTAGACACAGTTTCATGAAAGTACTGCGAGTACTCTGTGGGCTAAGAACCTGCATGGTTTCACTGACCACAGGTGTCTCCTACAGGTGGTGCTGAACAAGGACACAGTGGAGCAGGTCCTGGTGGGTCAAAGACGCTGGGAGGACACCGCGGTGGGCAGCGTCTGTGTCCGTCAGTGCACCGACCAGAATCAGCAGAGACTACGGACCCAGAGTCTCCTCCGTGGGATTGTCAAAACCCAGAGCAGGAGAGCCAGAGGTTGGACACCAACAGTCACAGCACACAGAGAACTGAATATGATTTTTATTTCAATTTTTTTTCAGACTTAATCGTTGATTCTCTTTGATCAGCACCAGTTCCAAGCTGTGCAGATATCAGAGGAACTTTCCCTTCGGCCTGGACCCCCACTCAGTTCAGTCGTATGTCAGAGGAGGATCTGGACCAGTGTGTGGAGGTCCTGGGTCAGGACTCTTCTCTGAACTCCCAGCAGCGCCGCTCACTGTGGGTGAAACTCAGACAGGTCAGTTTTGGTTCCTCATTTCCGCGTTCCAGTTTAGTCGTCAGACCAGAGCAGAACACCAGAACAGTACCAGGTACCAATGTGACAGAGATTGTGTTTTAATGAGACAATGTGGGTCGCATAAATAGGTCACAAAATGATACTACATTTTGGATTTTGATCTGTGGTTTTGGAAGTGTGATTGTCCCATAGGGGGCGGCAGAGCACTTTAAGTGAGTAAAACTTACCTGAAGTCATATGTTTTTTTACCAAAATTTAACTGCTGGTCCATTGCAATATTTCTGTGGCTCAATAAAGGTTTGGGACCCCAGACTTGGACCAAAGATCGAATTGTTCAACATTTATCAGTAAAGAGTCATTTGACCAGTACGGTGTCAAGTTATTACCATGTTTTACTAACATGTTTGAGTAAATTATGAGTAGTATTTTAATACCCCTCTCATCACTGGTGGACCCAGTCCTTCAGTCCAGTCAGAGACCTGAGACCAGAGCAGATCTTGGCGTTGGGCTCCGTGGTGACAGAGATGGGAGAAAGAGAGCTGCAGGATGTTGATCTCAGCGACCCAGTCGTACTGACACATCTGGGAACACTGACGGACTGGAGCCCTAAAAAGGTTCTCCTTCTAGGTGTTTTTAACGAGGGGAGTCGAGAAGGTGGAGCTGGAGTTTCTAAACTGAAGTGTCTCCGTTTGACTCGGCAGATGAGAGCTGTGGTTCTGGGCGTGATGCGGAGACGCAAACTGAGAGTAGAACACTTAACGATGGTGGACATGGTGACCTTTGGTCATCTGATCTGTGGTCTGTATCCGTCTGAGCTGAAGAGACTGAACCCCTACAACCTCAGGTCAGGCTTCTTATTATTTCATTTTTAAAACGACCCTGTGACAGACTTATGGCTTCCATTAATGTCATCATCATTGTCTGGTCCAGATAGGTCAAATGTGGGACAATTATTCTTGCTATAGTAGCATAGCATTTCAAGTGGAACCAAATTTGAGATTGTCTGGATACAAAATCCAACATGACATCTGATTCCATTTTTATTAATTGTATTTATTAACTGTTTGAGCCATTTAAAAGGCTGTAGAGCAGGGGTGTCAAACTGAGTTCAGGGGCCACATACAGCCCGATTAGATGTCAAGTGGGCCGGACCAGTGGAATTAATGTTATGAATAATGATATAATTACCTATAAATTATAAAAGAAATTTTTTTTTACTTTCAAAATTCATCTTTACCTATAAATTATAATTTTTTTTTTTTTACTTTCAAAGTAAAAAAAAAAGCTGGATTGAACCCCTTAGCTGGCCAGTTTTGGCCCCTAGGCTTTATGTTTGACACCCCTGCTATAGAGCCACATGTTTACGGATTCTTGTCACGTACCATAGTTTGAGAACCACTGCTACTAGATAAATAGAAAAAAACAAAGTGCACGGCAGCGTCTGCAGTAGTCTTTAAATAGAAGTGCACGGCAGCGTCTGCAGTAGTCTCCGTGTTCTTCTAGTACGTTCTCCAGGTAGTTGATGTGATGAACAGCAGGACGATCGTCACATGGTCTTCAGCCAACTCACTGACGTTACCTTGAGCTCAGGTCTCGTGTTTTCGTGACGTCGTCCACATCTGCTTTTATATTCTGGTCGCACACCTGCTGTGTCATCAATCCATTAAAACTTTTTAAAGTGCCCTGAGAGAAATATAAAGTCCTGGACTGTTTCCCTCCCCCTGCAGCGTGGCTGTCTTCTTCTTCAGAGAAATGTCTCTGCCGTGCACAGAGAAGCAGATGGAGGCGCTGACGAGTCGTTTGTTCAGACCAGAGGCCTTTGGACCCGTCAGTGCTTGGGGACCGGAGGTTTTCACTGAGATTGGAACACTGGCCGGTACAGTACAGCCTAATATTCCTGGAGGCATACAAGATTTTATTGATCGGCGTTTTTTTTGTAATAGTTTTTTGTTGAGGTCATGGTCCTGGAAGGACAGCCGCAAATAAAAAAGTATGGGAGGCAGGGTGAGCCTGGGGGAGGGAGGGTGAGGCATGGGAGCTCTTGTGTTCTTCTTCTGATGAGATATTAGATTGAGTCTGACTGCAGTGTTTGTCTTCATGTCCAGTGGGCCTGGAGGATATAGTGCTGTCAGCTCTGGTCCAAGAACAAGTGGAAGGCCTCACCCCCCCGGCCATCTCCCTGATGTCACCCGAGAAAATATCAGTGAGTCTTTGTTTTTGTGCGGCTTCTCCACGGTACAGTGTTTCCAGCCTTTGTACTGTATGAAGTATTACAGTATTATAAGGCTCTACACTACTGTAATAACACTGCATATGAATACTGTGATTAGCCAAATGTGGTTTCATGTACTGTAAACCAGCGGTCGCCAACCCCTGGTTCGGGGACCGATGCCAGTCCGTAGGTCATTTGGTACGGAGCCACAGTGGGATACAGTGAAAAAAAATACTTTTTTACTAATTTACTAATTTACTTCATTAAAAAAAAATCAACCCTTTTTGTACCAAGAACGAGTTGGTCGGTATCAGTCGTTACTGCAGTCTTTGTTGAAGGATCATTACATTTTCAAAAAAAAAATTCTTTATTCTGACCACGAACAGACTTTATTCTGTTGGTATCAGAGTCTGAATGACCCTTGACCTGGTGTTTTGAAAACAGTAAAGGGATATATAGTATAAGTAAACCTGAAGTACATTTTTCTTACTGTGTCCCACTGCAACTGGGTACCAAAAGACCTACGGACCGGCACCAGTCCCTGGACCAGGGGTTGGGGACCCCTGCTCTAAAATGATTCTTGTTGTTGTGTTGTCTTGTGGACAGGTGGTGTTCAGTCCAGCCCAGTTGTCATGGCTGACCATGGAGCAGGCCTGGGCTGTAACTGAAGAGCAGTGGACCGAGCTGGACCCTGAGCAGAGACACGCCGTGGGATTGGCTCGATACGATGGAGACGCTCTGGAGATGAGAGGTGATGTCTCTGTCTCTACCATTGCCATCCTGTAACACTGACGAAAATTAGAATTAAAGTAGTATTTATGAGCCTATACTAGGGGTGATATCCGATATGCCGATATTGTCCAAACTAAAGCTCAATTTCCAAATCCGATATCAACCGATACTGGGGCAGTGGTGGCCTTGATTATTAAAACAGATTAATAAAATGTGGGTCAGTGGTGGCCCTGATTATTAAAACAGATTAATAAAATGAGCTGCAATGCTGCCATCTAGTGACTTTCACTATCATATACAGCCGTTTTTTAACTATTTTTAGGGCACACATCATTTGGAAACTATCTTTTAACATTGCGTTATTGGGTTTTGATTATCAGAGGAAAAACCGATAACAATACTTACAGATATTACATCATTATGCTAATATTGGGCTGATAATATTGGTCAATGTTATCAAACATTCCTAGCATATACAGTAGGTGTTTTATTGTTGTAATACTTTCCTCTGCGAGACGACCAGCATGATTTTTATGTTATGTTCATCAACTCTGTGCCTCCACAGGAAGAAACACGGCCCCGGCAGCCCCACATGCCGATAGTTGGGCTGTCCAATCACTGGCTCTGTGCCTGCTGTTGTACAAAGTAATTTAAAATGCTGAGAGGATATAAGTGTCTATTGATCTCCTTTAGTAGCACCATATTTGTACATTGAATAAATATTTCAAACTGATCTGTTTTCTTCATCTGTCCGCACATTAATTTGCCACGGTGCACATTTTGTTCACTCTTATTCCAATTATCCACCTGGAAAATGGAAATGACTCTGTGTGCTGCAGATATGTTATTTTTAATGGCTACTCAGAGCAACAAGGGAGCAGAAATTAAATTATTATTTTAGCAGCAGAAGAACATTTGCAGGGTAATGATGATAGTGATCCAATGCTCTCTCCTAGAGTGATATTTCATTACATTAACTCCACACACACACACACACACTAATGTTGATCCTTTATACAGGTATTTCAATAAAAATAATTAATTTGTAAATCACAACAATTCAGCCATAAAAAGGCTTCAGCTTTTCTACAGCCCTGTTCACCAGTGTTAATAGTAAAGAGGTTATTTATTAAAGCAAATGGCGTCATTGATTATAGGCCTGAGTTGATTTAGGACTAACAAACAACAACAACAACAACAAAGGAATCAGTGGAAGAACCAAGTATAACATGTTCATTTCCAAGCTCCAGAAATCCTTTTCATGGAGTATGCGACTCCTGCCTTAGACGCAGAAGGTGATGCGTTTGAGCCCCAGTGGACACTGCATACTCAATAGCGCCCCCCGTGGCAGCCTGGGTGGGATGCGAAGACTCACAGTGTACATTTCATTGTGGGATCCATAAGGGACAAACATATAACTGTGGTTCTCAATAGGTGAGGTGTGCCTCCCCTAGGGGCCGCCATAGAGTCACAGGGGAGGCCTGCATGAAGCTGCATGCCTGAAGTAAGACCACCACTATATAATATATTTACATATGATACATTTCGTAATGATATGATAAAAACAGTTTTAAAGGCAGTTGCCTTTTTTGTGACCTTGGTCAATTCAATTTTATTGCAGCCTTTTAGGTAGCACACGTACTGCATACATTTGAATGTGCAGTATATATGTATATTTAAAGCTTTGCTCACCAGGTAGACCACTGACTTTGGGAAAATATATCCAGGAATAGATGGATCCAGAATGAATAAATTCACAATATTAAAGAATCGTGGACATAAATCTACAGTCTGGACCACCATGGACCACCATGACTTACATCTGCTCATGAAGAGGATTCAAACTGGGCCCACTTTTGAAGCAGTAGGTTCAGGTTACATCTGTCCAATTAGGTTGATTCATATGGGCATCCAAACAAGAAGTGAACCACATGGGATATTTTAGGCAAATGATTCCTACGTCAGACTGACAATTAGATTTCATCCAGTCCCATTTGGGGTCTATTCAGATTACGTACCACAGTTGATTTGCATTCTTGGCATGTTCCACTTCCATCTTCTGCAAAACACTGGCATTTCCAACTGGGTCCAAATGAGTCCAGGCGAAGTGACAGCTGTGTGCAAACACTGCAAAAATGTTTTTAGGCCCACATCTCCACCTCCTCCGCAGGTTTACGTTTTTCTCCTTTGACAAATCAATTGTCTATTGGAGCCAGAACTTTTACAAAAACCGAACGGCCCAAATTCTACAGACAACAAACTGCTAGTACCCTCATTTTGTTTGCCAGTGGAATTACAATTTGCAGACACAGTTTTAGCAGATGTTGGAAGAATGTTCACCAATCACAGGGTCACATAATAACAACCATTCACACTCATTTTCACACATAGGGTCAGTTAGCAGTGTCCAGTTAACCTGATGGCAATGGACTCAGTTATTATATTATTATTATTTTATACCTCAGATAGATGTATAAAACCTGTAGTGTCATCTGGACTAGAACAGCCATCGATTTACTGTTTAATAAATAATATAGAATGTTATTTATGTTTAATTTTATCCGTAGATGTTGATTCTACTGTGTAGTAAACAGAGTTTATTTATTTCTGTTTATTCTTTTTATTAGTGTCATTACAAGACCAAACATATTCATTTTGCCCGGGAAACTATTTGGAAACTAAAAACATTGCGAACCAATATGGCTGCCTCTGTACACAAGAACCACATCTAATGCATATTAACTCTCTTGTTTTTGCCGTCGTTCTCAACACAGATTGATGTACTTTTGAATGAGGGTGTTCCCGTAAAAAAATCAGGCAAGCGATTCCAGGTTCCAAAGATGAAAATTAAACTGGAATTTATACTTTTTACTTCTGGGATATCCATTATTATACCAACGGTACCGCATATTACCAGTAGATGGCAGTGTAGTCGTGTCGTTGCTGCCTGAGTAGGCGTGGCCAACGACGTCGAAGTTGGTCTACGGCGGTGACGTATTTCCTGGGGCTCGTACGGATAACTCAGCGGGTACACGGCAGGGCCATCATGACTATTTATAGCCAGCCGTCGTGTGTTGCCAGCTTTCCCGACGCTTCACGGCGCCGTCGTCTTTTCTAACGCCGCGTCGTGAGGCTCCTCCACGTCGGACCGGAGCAGGATGTGAGCGAAGCTAGTGAGAAAGATCCTCTCGTAAGTTTTCCGCCTGCTGCTTCAGCTGCTTTTACGTACACTAGTTTTAGTTTACCGGTCAGACGGGGACCGAGGACGGGACTGGACAGGTCGGGAGTCCCAGTTTGTTGTTTATTTATTGTTTGTTTGTGTATCAGCTCCGTTGGGAGGGAGGGATTTTACACACACATACTCATTACAGCTGACGTTGACGCGTCCGGATCTGCGGTTGTTGTTGTTGGTTGGTGTAAAAAAAGAGATCAAAAACCGAACTGGTTCCTGTCGTGAATCAAGCAGCAACAACTGGAAAAGCAGCGGTTTTAAACATGTGAGAACAGCGGTCGTGTCGTAAATACTCGTCAGAGGCGGAGGAGAGCGGGGGGAGGAAAGGGGAGGAAAGGGGAGGCACTCGTACGACGGAACAGGTCAACCCACCAGCACCGCCGCGTCAAGTTTGCTTCACGGCGGCTCCAGTTCCAGTTCCACTACTGTACAGTTCCAGAGACTTTGGTCCAGTCGAGGAGTCCTGGTCGGTACCAGCCGAGTCCCACAGTATGACTGCGTGTCGTTGTGCTCACGTACTTTAACTTGTGAGGTGAGTCTCCTGCTGCTGTCAGCTGATGCTTTTAAAGAGCTTAACCCTAACCTGGCGTCAGGACCTGGAGCTCCGGGCCACGGAGGCAGAGGTTGTTGGTCTTACTCTGGGCTGTTGGACACAGACTCTGGTTCCAGTAGTCAACAGTCGGGGCTCGTACGTCACTGGGGTGAACTTTGGTAATGATCAATAAACCAGGCAACAAACAGCAGTGTTTATCTTGTTGAAATCAGGGCTTTTTTTAAGGGAAAGGTTCCAGGAAGTTAGTCCGGAAAATCAAGGCTTTCAGAGAAATAAAAATACTGACGTAAAAAGTGATTCACTGTGAACAATCGACCTTTGCCTTTTAGTTACTACTCTGTGTTTATTTTATCTCTACAAAGACAGGTTTTCATGTTTTTTAACAAATAAATAAAAAATGTATTTAGAAACAAAATAGTTTTTTTTTAAAAACTATATTTATTCAAATGATTTCACTATATTCAGGTTTGATTTGCCAACATGTTAACATAAGACAAGGTTTTCATGTTTTTTTAACAAATAAACAACAGAAAATTTATTTAGAAACAAAATAGTTTTTAAAAAAAACTGTATTTATTCAAATAATTTCACTATATTCAGGTTCGATTTGCCAACATGTTAACATAAGACAACCTGTATATAATGTAAGGCATTTTTTAAATCCTCAAAAGACTATAAATATATGTATATATTTACACATATATTAACACATATGTACATATGACAATCATGTGCACATGAAGAACAGGACTTTGAGTGAGGGCTGTCTCTGCTCTAATGCATCATAAATAATAATAGACCTAAAGACTGGACGACTGGTGTCGTGGGAAATAAAAATATTATTGGACCAGGTTTTCTCTGTTGCACGAACGTCAGTGGTTTTCTTCAGCAGTACGTTTCTGAACTTTATTGTATCCGTAGACCAGGGTTGTGGCCCTTCTTGCAAACTGCCAACTGCCATGACCAGAATATGTCATAGGCCATGTTTTAATCTGCACGGCTTGTTGTCAGTAGGTGGATCGTCAGTGCTGTGGTTTTAATATGTGGTTCAACATGTTGCCCAATCTTCTCTGGAGACTTTGCACATGTTCTGAGTTCTAAATTCTGAGTTGTGCTTTTACGAGGCCATTTTTTTATGCTGACACTGTAGCGGGACGTCTGACCAAATAGTTGACGGGACGTCGGGTGGATCAGTGGGCTACCACAGAGATTACTGTTTAGACGCACTTTAATTTTATTTTTGGAGAGTCAGCGCATTAAAGATCAAATTAAATTTCTAATAAAATTCCCAATAAAAGATAATGGCATACTTGGAAAAAAATTGATAGCGAAGCACGACTTCTATTTGAAAAATGATCGGGGTTCGGTTCCGGGTGATTCCACAGCAGTGATGAGGGCATATTAAAAAGCTTTTTTTTTACATTGTTTCTCACTGCTCTGGGAGTGACTTTTTATATCACTGGTTCTCAAATGGTGGTTTACCATCAAGCAGAGATGCAGCTGCATCTTGACCTTACAGTTTAAACAAAAGTTAGCTCGGAATCCTGTCGTTTAAAGCTAACTACCGTGGAATACAAACATGACCAGCTTGTCAACTTTGAGGATAAATAGAGTTAGCAGTTGTTTGTGGATTAACAGGTTCATGTGTCATTGTTACCTGCTTGAATTTGCATGTGTCCAGATCAAATGACCCAAGTCACGCAGCCTAAGAACGGCTGTACCGACACTGAGATCTCAGATAAAGAGTTCCATTAGACGCCAATACATCAAACTGAAGTTTTATTTGAAAGAAATTATTTTACAACTTTTCCCCAAGTTAACGTTCAATTATGCTTCAGTAAAATGTGAGGCTTCGTGAATAATTAGTTTATGATGAAATTATGTGATTGTTGATCATTTGGGCATCGGTGGTTTGGCAACTGTGTGTGAAAATGTTCCAGAAACTTTGCTTTTGTGATTTTATTTTTTTATTTGCACCATTTTTACTCCTCATATATTTAACAGCTGGCATTCAGCATTATATTTTTTGATTTTATTTTCATTCTGCTGATGCGTTGCATTCATTTCCTAAATGGCGTGCGAGGCTCTGTGATGATAAGATGTGTGTGAGCAGATTAGTGGAATGGACATAAGGTTTGTAAATTTGGGTTTTATTTTAATTCAAAAGTAAATAAAAACCCAATGAGTCGTAAAGTGTTTCTTTTATGAAATGTCCAGATGAGACAGCTAATGAGACCTCCACTGTCCTTCTGGGTTAATGACACTTGGCTAATTGTTATGTGCCATTGTATTTTTCCATTATTACCATCTGACATATGGTACCGTTGACGTGGCAACACTACAGTCTGCTGAGTACAGTCCACGTCCTCGGAGACTTCCTCCAGCAGTAAAGTTATTGGGCACTCGATGCCACCGCGTGTATTTGTGTGTATCTTGTATAGTTATACTTGTGGGGACGTCTTTTAGTAAACTGTACTGTTGCCGGGGGACACCTTGTTTAAAGGGGACATTTTGCAGGTCCTCACTAAGGAAGAGAGCAATTTGAAGTTTAAGATTTGAGTTTGGAGCTGGGACTAGAATTAGGGAAGTGGTTCCAGCTGGGCTCGCCTGATATTAGTGTTTTTTCCTCCGATAATGTTAACGCAATATCTGGGTTTTTTCCAGTATGATGTAATTGCTTGTAAGTCCTGAGAATTTTACTATAGTTTTGGGAACAAACGGCTTCATGTATTGGTAGCAATATCGAAATCGTAAATTAAGTGTTTGGACAATATTGACAAATTGGATATCGGCAAAAAGTTAATATCTCTAGTTCCAACCACTTGACAACAGTTCTATTGACAGGGGGCGCTCCAAATGGTTGGGGAATGATTGATTGAAAACAATATAAGTTTTTAAAATTATGAATAAAAACACAAAACATGTCTCAGGTGTTACCTTGCGACCCCGTTTTGACAGGGTCGCATCCCAAAAAAAGGTTGGAAACCACTGGGTTAAAGGGTCAGAAATTTTTTGTCTTTGTAAAGTGCTCAGTGTGCACGCGTGTACGAACACGTGGGTGTGTGTATTCAGTGCGTTACATTGGGAAACCGTGTGGTTGAGTGTGTTGTCGACGTCACGCGTGTCTGGACTTAAACCCAGACTAGAGTCTGTAAGTCCCACCATTCTGGATTTGCTCACAGACCTTGAGAACCTGTTCCCACAGACAGATGACACAGAGTTGTGTAAGTGTTGCTGAGATTCGTCCTCTAAACTGTTGATACTTTTTATTTGATCATTTTCATTCTGTGCTGCCTTTGTCTCATGTCGAACCAACCAACCTGAGAGGTTAACTGTTTAATTTGAGTAATTTGATTTTCTTTTCTTTCAAGAATGTTATGAGCCTAAAAAAGTCATTAGATTTTGTTGATGGTGCAGCTTTATTTTGGGTTTGTGTTAATAGATTCTCAGCGGTGTCGTCAGGTAGAGGGAGCTCAAGGTTTTTAAGTATTGATTGAATTCATTTACCAACAGGGTCAGTCCTGAATAAAGACACAGTGACCTCTCTGGACAGCCACGTCAGTGGGTTTAGTTTGGGCCAATGTATGATATTGGTGATTTAAAAAAATACAAGAAATTCTAGTATTTTATTTTTAATTTCTTTTTATTATTCTTTATTTTAGTTGCTCATGATCTACCAGCACTCCCTTTGTGATCTACTGGTAGATTGGGATCCACTTATTGGGCAGTCCGGCTGTAAGCTGTCAGTCAGAACTGTTGTGTTGTCGGAGAGTTGATTTAAAGATGAGTTCTGCGGCAGAGTCTGCTGAAACGATGACATCTACTGGTTCTAGAAGTGTCCATAAAATATGGGGAAACTTCAGGTGAGCCGGTGATAAAAAGCGATGCAGTGGAATGAGTTTATACCGAAGAAGGTATATACAGAGGAAACTAACTTGTTGTTTATATTTATATTTCTTCTTCTTCTCTCGCCTCTGACGTTCCTAAGCAGCCAAATGCTCTCTTTACTGTTAAGCCTGTACTTACGTTATATTGGGTTATTGTTTAAAAGATGAATTGAAATAGATACTGAATTATTCATGAAAAAAACCAAAGCTGCTCTTAACTCTCCTGCAGCAGTTTTTTTTCCTAACGGAGAATTCCTTTAAAGAATTTTGCAGGTTGCAGGGGTCTCTGACACCAGGTCATGACCTGCTTCTTTGCCTGAGGACGTAAATGTAATTCCTTTTAAAGTTTCTTCTGGTTTGGATAAAAGATTAAAAAGAAAGTCAGATGGACGTGGATCAAAACCTGTTGTCAACTTTCCCTCGTTTTGCCAGTAGGGGTGTGTATTGACACGCATTTGGCGATAAAATATGTTTCATGATACAAGGGCAATGATACGATATATTGTGATATATTACGACATTATAGGCACGACAAGTGTTTTTTTTTTTTTTACAGTTTATTTGTAGAATATTGATATAGTGTCGTGAACCAAAATATTGCGATATTTCAGAGTATGGATATTTTCTTACAACCCCCTATTTAGCAGTTTTTTGTTTGTGTTTAATTATTTCAATTTAAATGTAATTGCTCAGGATCTACCAGAACTCCCTTTGAGATTTACTGGTGGATCTCCATCCACTCTTTGGACGTCCCTGCTCTAATCCGTACCGCTTATTTATTTACTCACCCGCACTCTCAGACACGGTGCATTTTAAGCCGTATTTCCTAAGCTAGCTGCTGCTGCTAACCCAGCAAATGCTGCTAGCCCAGACGTTTTACCCTCGTCCACGAACAGTCCCTTGACCTCCGCGTGACACCAGCTGCCCAGGGCGTATTTAAGTTCCAGCAGTCGTCCAGCTCCCTCCGTCAGTCCACTCCACAGGCCCCGCCCCTGAGTATAAACACCAGCTACGCCTGCTGTGTGACTGACCACAACATCAAATCTGGAGCTGCCGTCCTGCTCACGGCTTCCTGCGCTAACTCCATATGCTTGTACTTATTCCCCTCTGCAGCAGAGCAGCTGTGGACGGCTGTTCCTAATTAGACAGGCTGATTAATACGCTGCTTAATGTGTTCAACCGCCGATTACAGTTGGTGCGAATCAAACATGAAAGCAGCTACAAAAACAGGAAGAAAATGTCGCGTCTGGGTCACAAACGATTTCTTTTAAAATCAGATTAATCACAGTGTGGCTGTCAACTAATCATGACTAATTGACATAAATCAACATTCCCACTTATTTACCGAATCCCATTTTCTGTTTTGTGTTAACTGAAAACTAACTGCAGGTAGAAGTCAGTGTCACATGATGGAAAATATTATTATGGAAAAATGAGAGTTGCTTTTAGTTAATTTTAAGTAGTCATTAAATTGAGTAATTGTATTTAGTTAATTAATTTGGGTTAATTAGAAATGAATTACTATTAATTATAAAGATTACTTATTATTTTGTGTGTGTGTCTATTTTTTTAATAGACTCCACTTCAAATCTAGCGCCACACTACTATTTTTTTAATAGACTCTACATCAAATCTAGTGCCACACTCAGGCAGATCAGAGTTTTTTAGCGCCACACAGGCAGATCAGAGTTTTTTCTTCTTTGGACCTCACAGAGTTCAGATGAGTTTTCACACCGGCCCATACAAACCTGCCCCAGATTTTGTACTGTGATCTGTTTAGAGCAGAACAAACAGCCTGGTGTGAAAATGCCTCTCATTGAAGAGGTTTCTTCTTCTGTTCTGTGAAAGAGGATTCTGGAAAACTCCAGTAATTCAGCCTCTAAGACCTGGATACCTGAATAGTCCTTATGATAATAAAATGCAGGTCACCCACCGGCTGACCCAGTTACAGGATGCTGGTTCCACCCAATTGAAGGTGTGAATTGTGGAAGGTGGGGGGGGCACCTGAGGGACTTGGCTGACTCCTATTGTTTCCCTCAGTATATCCTGCTGGTCTCCCCTTCACTTGTAAAAGTGGAAAAAACAAATAAATAAAACAAATAAAATGTGACGTAACACTAGCGCTAATTTGTTGTTTACATGAATGCACTCCGATGTGGTTTGTCCATACTCATGTTTCATAAAACTTCACATACATATAAAAATGTATTTGTCTTTTTTTTTTTTTCACCACCAGGTGAGCCGCGACGATCTCTGTCTTCATCTACTGCAGTCCAACCTATAGGAGTTGCTGTTCTCCGGAGCTGCGTCGTGCTAAGACAACTCATGGCTTCCGCCTCCGCGTCTTGCTCTGTTGGCCACAGGCTAGGACTGCTGGGCTTCATCTTTTGGCCTCTTTTGGTCTTGTTGGTCTCTGGGTTGAGACCGGTCCTGGGTCTGAAGGTCTACACTAACACATGGGCCGTCCATATACCCGGAGGTGTAGAGGTGGCCGATCAAATCGCCAACAAGCATGGGTTCATCAACCACGGACATGTGAGTTAGAACTACACTCTGCTCCTCCTCTATGCAGATGATTACTGCAGTATTTACTAATATAGTCTTGTTTACCCTTCTGTCAGATAAAATATATTTCTTTCCTTGTTTCCTCTTGTACATTTTCCCCATATACGCACAAAGCACTGGATTGTTTGTGGAACTGGAAAATAATATTATTAGTTTGAATAAATTATTTGAATAATTATGTGGTTGGAAAATACAAAACACCAACAAGGAAATGTATAGGGTGGGACAATTTACAGAAAAAACTTTGACTATCAGGAAAACTGATTTGTAAGACGTAGTGGATAAACACCAAGTTGGTGTGAGCGTTGTTATTCCTCTACGTCGATGATCTGCTTGTTGTGCTGTTCTCGTCGGTTCCGTTTGTAGGATGTATATTCCTGACATCTGACATTTAAACAGGATACTTTATTATAGGGTTCATATATCAACAGCACCAGGGCTGTGTTGGTGTCACTGTCTCATTTAAGGCTGGGCCGCGTGTTTGATACATTTCTAACTGACAGTATTGTTTTGGGTAGATGAGGTAAAATTGGTCTCTAAATACTAATGACAGGGTTTGGGCTCATTGACGCCCAGTGATTGAGCTGCAGACGTCCTCACTTTCATCGCTCAGAGTGAGAGTCACGTTGCAGCCGAGTGATGGCGTGAATACCGTTTACCTTCTTATGCTGTTATTAAGTACCATTACGTCCGTCGGTGACGTTGTTTGCGGTTGTTTGTTGTTTATTGTTTGGGAGTGAGATTTCTGTTGTGGTGGAGAGATTAATACAATAACCACAATGTTTGATTGTCCTACCACCACAGGGCGACTGAAGTGGCTGTTGCTGGTTCAGTTTCTATATCCGTGGTCTGTGTGTATTCAGAGCCATTAGAAACAAACATTTAACTTCCAATTCCGATATCAACTGATGTGGCAGCCTGGTGGTTAGGGAAAGTGCCACCTTCTCACTCAGGTGATGGGTTAATGAGCTACAATGCTGCCACCTAGTGATTTTAAATTTCATATACAGACACTGTCAATGTACGGTAAATCGATTACAGGCGACAGTAACTCATCAATCTTGTCGAACTCTGAATATTACATAACAGCCAGTCACATGATGTCCTCACACACTACCTGCCCGTGGTGCCCCCCCCCCCCTTTCCTCTTCCTCTGCCCTTGGTCTTAAACACAGATATGGTCGATGAGGCCAGGAAGGAACGAGGCTAACGACCACTGGAATAAAGCAGATGATCGGTTTTAAAAGTATTGGGCGGCAGTGACGACGCGGTGCTGACACCGGTCTAGTGTAATGGGGTCATTTTAGGTAAAGGGAAATAATTAAAACTAAGTTAAAGTCATAAAGTCCCAAAAAATGGCTGACTCATTCCCTGGTTAATTGGGCATTTACTGCCAACTCGCATCTCTGGATGGTTGTTGTACATTTCAGGGACACTTTCACGTTCACGCCATCAGACTGCTGCTGCATTTAAATTTTTTTTTATGAAGCCAACTTTTCCCGTGCCTCATTTGATTGCACCTCGGTTAAAACGGCATTGAAAGGGAACAGTTCAACCAAAGACACGGCCATGTGAGTTATGTGACGCAGTCGAACGAGTCATTACAGTTTAATCCATGAATAGGATTCAGTGGATCAAAGGTCCGAACACAAACGCGTCCACAGAGGTCTGGGGTGTAACAAAGGCAGCCCACTTTCTGATGTGGTTCCCCAGCAGCTGCGCAAAGTTTTCTTATTGTTAGAGCTCTTTCATTTTTCATCACATATATTTTCGGGCCAGTCCTGTGTTGAAACACTGAGCCCGTCTGTCTGTGGCCTGAGGCTTCAACCGTCAACTCCATCTCGTATGCCGTTTAGGGAAGTTCTGCGACCGACAAAGTGATTCACGTCTTCCTGCGTTTTGTGTTTGTTTGAAAAACAATTGCGTCGGCTACGGTTTCAGCCCTTCAACAATGACTGTGTATTTATTGACATTTATTGACACAACTCGGCCTAAAGGTCGCATTACGCAGAAATATTTCACAAGCTTTCACACCAACAACGCGTTGCTTCCTCCCTGTAGAATGTAAACATGTTCTGTTTTTGAACACTGCCTGACTGCTGACTTCACACATTCCAGGCATCAAAGCACTGATGCAAGTTCTCATGAACAGTCATGTTCCTGCAGCTAAATAAAAATCTTTCTTTTCCAAAGAACAGCTCTGTTCCTGAGAACAACTGACTGGAAGGGTCGTTCCCCCTGCCATTCTCCAGGGCTTTTTTTTTTACTGCAGAGGGCCTTATGTTTGGAATCCTGTGCCCCCCCTCATGGCAGTAGCCTGGCCTATTTCTGGAGTGTGCGGGAAAAGCGCCGGCCCTTTTTGTTTTTAGAACAAATATGTTTTTTTTTTAGTGTCAACTATTAATATTCAGTCCAGCTCTGATGAGTAGAAGAGCAAGGATGGGGGTTTAAATCAGGGATGTCCGAACAATCCCCCCAAAACTGAGGTAAACGTCCCAGGACCCTACGTGCGATTCCAGCAAATTTGGCAAAACCTAGGCATTGTTACCAATATTACATAATTATGCTAATATCAGGCCAATAATATCAGTCGGCCGATATTATCGGACATCCCTAGTTTAAATGTGTTGACTGTCCGACTGTAGTATCAGATTGTTCACTGCCATCCAAATTGGTGAGATATGATAGAAGTTTTTTTTTTATCAGTGTTCCTGGCCTTCACCCCTCCAGACCCTGCAGTTGTACATAATGTCCCTGTCAGTATCTGACAACAAAGTTCTCACTGTGGTCAGCCATGTTAACTCTAAGTTTTATTTTGTCAATTTAATGATCCTTCAAAGATGGCACGGTATTACCGGTCCACAGAAACGGCTGACGCCGGCCGATCGCTCCTTGGTACAAAAAAAGATTGTGGACCTAGTGCTGATCCAGATCAATCAACACAATAAAGTTATTTTTCTTTTTGTCAAATCTAAACTTGTTGTTTATGGAACCGACCTTATGTTTTACAAAAGCCTGACTGATGATCCGCCGTTGAGCAGCGGTAGTACTCGGATCCATCTGTGGTACTTTACCCACCCAGTTTACCCAGAGGGCCTTTCCTGGGCCCTGGTGTCAAACGCCAGCTCCAGCGCTGTAGATAACCACATCTAAATATTTGATAATGTGTAAGCATGTTTAGTAAGTGGCTTTACTCCTGCAGTGTGTTCATTAATCTTTCATGCCGCCGCTCCGTGTGCAGTCCGGCTCTGTCCTATTTAAGCCGACAGGAGTTGATGGCTTGAATGGAGCGCACTGCTTTCTTTTTTTTTTTACAGTCAAAGTGACGTGCTCTCGTGGAGATGGCGGCTCTTTGAAGTGTCGTAATGACAGTGGCTGCCAGTTCAGTCAGAACTGTTGGAAGTTTGCCCTTCATTGATATGGACTCATTAGGAACGCCAGGCTTTCTGTCCATAAACTGTTGGCGTTGTTTTTCATCTCAGGAGGGTTCGTCAGGACCAAAGAGCCGCAGCGCTGCAGTGGCCCCGGTCGAACAGTCTCTGTCATTGTCTCACCGGTCGACATATTAGCCTTGGCTTTGTGCTAAGCTCGCTCTTCCTAGACCAATCAGAACTCTCGCCATGTCCAGAAGAAATTCTGCAGAACAGAAAAGTTTGATGTGCTCCACCATTCACAGCAGAGGTGGGAGGGATGGGGGGGGGGGGGTTAGTAGTAGTTAACAGCAGCTTCATGCTAACATGTCAGATGAATCAGCCATGTGTTTCTTATTAAACACTGTGTCATATTTGGACCTGAGTAAAACTGTATCGAGTTCGACATATTTTCCTCGGCTCCAGGCTCAGCTCACTCTTCCTAGACAGATGGATCTCTCATCCTGTTTGCATGGCAGTCAGGTGTTCATGTTTGTCTTGCTGTCGAGGATCATCAGGATGTTTTAACAGTAAAGTTCCAAGGAAAATCCACGAGCACGGCTCTGATCGACACAGTTTTATTGCCAGGAACGACCTTGGAGCTAATATGAATATAAATCAAAAGTCGGAACCATTACTGCCCTGAAAGGCTCTAACGGACACAGTAATTGTGCTGTAAATATCAGAGTTGGTCATTTGCCTGGGACAAAGAGGTTTTGAGAAGATTTATCTGTTTTAATCTACGAGGAAAAGGTGTGTATTGTATTTCTACTCCCACGTAAACCGAACGACCAATCAATCAACACTAATCCCTTTACTGTGGGTCTTTGTCCAGACTTTGAGGAAACGGAGAATTGACATAGCACCTCAGAAGGCCAAGAACTCAGGGTTTACTTCAGTACAGTGGAAGTACTGCAGTACATCTGGGTTTATATTAAAGTTGTTTGTCACTGAGCTTCTCCGCCTTCACAGCCGTCCTCCTCACAGTAACATTAGAATACAGAGCACTGGTGGTTCACACAGGTCAGGGATTGGGGCATACTCTAGGTCTGGGGTCAGAGGTCAGTCTGGTGTGGTGCTGGTTTTCTAAAGAAAAGGTCCAAGGACACGGTTCTGTATATATTTTATTTATGTTCAACAAGGCGTGATGCTGAGAGAGAGAGAGAGAGAGAGAGAGAGACAGCGAGAGAGAGAGAGAGAGAGAGAGAGAGAGAGAGATCTCCTGGCAGTTGTGGTAGCAGTTAGCAGCTTCACGCTAACTTGTCAGATGAATCAGCGTTGTGATTCTTATTTCACTACCACTTACTTCAGACAAAACAAACATTTACGCCAACTCTCACTCTGACGTTTTACACTGCGATGTGGTTCTGTGTTCGGAGTAACGGAGTAAAACTGAAGTACCTCGAAGTGCTTTAACAACGGGTATAAATAGTTCCTCTCTTGGTTCCTGACCCAGTTTATCTGTCGACTCAGAGGAAAGGGAGGGGAGTAACTGGGAACACTGGTATTTACATGACTTACCCTGAAAGCAACACACACCTGTTTGTTACAATTCTGACC